AAGATATGAAGTGATTTTAATCTCTTAGTTCAAGAGAAGACAGAGAGTGTATACACCGACGCCATTGTGATCGATTCTGAGCCATGTCACCAAGAGTCTCCAACCATTGGTTACGATAGTCAAGCGTACCCCAACCAAGTAGTCTGCATCTACCAACATGGCTCAGACTAGAGGTTAGTATCTTCAAGCACTGATGCCACGTTTTTGTTTGGCCGCCCCTAACTTTCTTCCAACCATCCCGAACACCGGTTAGCATTGCACGTCGTTGTAATCGGTGTTCGGGCATACGTAACACGTGGCCCAACCATCTCAGTCGATGAAGATTCATAACCTCATCAACTGATTTACCATCATTCCCTAATACCCTGCGTCTAACCTCACTATTACTTACCTGGTGATCCCAGCGGACGCCAGCAATACTTCTGAGGCATCTGTGGTCAAATACTAGTAGCTTACGAGTGTGTTCTACTCTTAAAGGCCATGTTTCGCTGCCGTAAATTAAAACAGAACGGACTGCCGCGCAGTAAACACGTCATTTTATTGATAGACGTATATTTTGTCTTCGCGATACGTGACGTAAGTTGGCAAAAGCCAAACGAGCTTTTCGAATCCGTGCTGAGATTTCGTCCGGTACCAGCCCATTAGGGCTGATTAGACTTCCAAGATAAGTGGAGTTGTCAACGCGTTCGACTAATTCACTCCCTATCCTTAGTTCAGGTGTTGACGCAGACCAGTCATGAAGCGACAACTTGCATTTAGAGAGAGAGAAGCGCATTCCAAACATTCTGACATTGTTGCTCTGTGCTACCAAAAGACTCTGCATTCTATCAGCGTCTTCACCAAACAGGACTATGTCATCTGCGTATTCTAAGTCGATAAGTGGACCTCCTGTAAGGAGATCAATAATTGAGTATTCAGTAGACGAGAATGTTATTTCCATCAATACGTCTATGATGAAGTTAAACAGAAATGCAGAAAGTGGACGGCCTTGACGGACACCACTTGAGGTTGCAAAAGTAGATGACAGTTCGCCATAAGCTATGACTCGACTTGTGTTGTTCGAGTAAAGAACCTTCACAAGGTTTATGTACTTCTGAGGTACGCCTTTCAATGAAAGACACTGCCACAGAATCTCGCGGTCTACAGAGTCAAATGCTGCTTTTAAGTCAAGAAAGACCACCATTGTCGGACGCCTATGAGTATGCATGTGTTCTAGAACCTGACGAATGGTGAATACGTGGTCGATGCAGCCACGACCAGGTCTGAAGCCAGCTTGATTCTCTCGTGTTTGCAGTTCACGAGTCTTAGTTAGGCGTCTGATAATTATCGAGGCTAATATTTTAGATACTATATTAGTTAAACTAATCCCTCTATGGTTGTCACAGGATGATTTTGACCCTTTCTTATATATTGGGACGATAAGTGATTGTGACCAGTCAGATAGAATAACGTCTAACTCCCAAATCTTAGCTAAAATATTAATCAACCTAATCGCTAAAATTGTACCACCATCCTTAAAGACCTCTGGAACTAATCCATCTGGACCAGCTGCCCTTCCTCGTTTCAGATTAACTATAGCCTTTTGAACTTCTGCTAGAGTTGGGGGACCTACTTCAATGTTCCATTCACACTGTGTGGGAATGGGTGGTAGTTGCAGAGTAGCTGAAGGCCAGCTGAACTGTTCTCTGAAATGTTCCGCTCATCGTTCTAAACGTCTGGACTGAGAGCAGATGAGGGTGTCGTCTTTTTCCGAAATAATCTCACTTACACTTGACTTATTAATTCCTGTTTCTTTTATTAGTCTGTAAAGCTGTCTTGTGTTCCCTATAGTCGCCGCCTTTTCCATCTCTTTTGCTTTCGTTACCCACCACTGCTCACGGTCGTTCTTTAGACTTTTTCTTAACCTAGATCTGATTTGTTTTCGCTCTTCATCATGTTCAGGACCTGATGGGACGAGTTTGCGAGAATCCATCAGTGTGACAGACCTTGAGGAAATCCATTGGTTCTTTGTAACCCTGTGGTTTAAATCATTAATAGATGTCACTGCTGTTTCCACAGCTGTTTGTATAGCTTTCCAAGCAACATCTGGGTCAGCCTCGTCTTCACAACTACCTAAGTGTGACCTCAGTTGTTCCTGGAACCTACTTTTGGTTTTCTCGCTACTCAATTCAGTTCTAATGGGTCTTTTTACCGTAGCTTTTTGCGTCCAGTGAGGCGCAAGCAGATGCGTGCCCGTATTAAGGCATGGTCGGAGTCCAAGCAGATACTCCAGAATGAGCGACAATCTTCTACCGACCCTCTCCAACGATGACTGATGGCAATAAGGTCTATTTGAGTCCATCGTTGGTTTGGTGTAGGGGGTCGCCATGTTAGACGATGTCTCTCCTTATGCTTAAAATTTGTGTTTGCTAAAGATAAACGATTGTCTGAGCATAGTTGCAGCAGACGATCACCATTATCTGTTCGCTGTGCCGGAATACTAAAATACCTACCTAAATGCCTTTCTGTTTGGTTTAAACTACCTATCTGGGCATTAAAGTCACCTGCTACGTGTACTATTTCTGAACGTTTAGCTTTCTGAAGAAGTTCAGATAGGCAGCGTAGGCTGAGACGACAAAAAGGCAACGACGTGTGTCCCTATCCTTCGGAGTTCTTACGGAGCCGTTTAGCCGGACAGCACATAAACGACTGTTAACGGGGATCCACTCTAACAGTGCTTGTTCCCCCTCATGCTTAGTGCTATCCCTACTCCTGCCAGCCCACGAGAGCTGGCCATCGGGTCACCAGATACACGAAGGGTGTATCTCGTTGGCTCTCCGTTTTGCCGAGGTGAGGTCAAATGAATGACCACACTGGAATCCTGTATGCGTGTTTCGGAGACACAGCACACGTCAATGGTAAGAGACTCTAGGGTTTTAGCCAAGGTAGCCTGTTGTCCGATTTGACATAGAGTGCGTACGTTGAAGGCTCCAATGTGTAGTTTGGAGCGAGGTTTCAGTAGACCTGGGACAGTGTTTTGAGCACTAGAATCGTCAGCTATGGTGACACTTGAGGAGGAAGCCGAAAGAGGAAGTTTAGAGTTGAAAGTCTATGTAGGAGGAATAATAGGAATTGAAGAGGAAGGTTGATTATGAATACAGTGGTCTTGGGTGCTGTTAGAGTTATGAGGGCGGCTATCACTTCCCGGTTGCCCACACCGTGGAAGGGTTGTTCTGGAGGTACCTGAAAAGGAAATTAGATTAGAGGTGATCTTAGTGACCTGAGAGCGCGACCGCAGTGCCCAAGGGACAACTGCTTGAGGTCGGTCACACGACCTTTTCATGGGTATTTTTGTGTTAGCTCCGTACTTATTGAGACCTCACCGCCGGAGACGGATAACCGTGAGATATGGCGAGGTGTGCATTTTTAGGGTCGACCTTTTCTAACCCCACCCCTTCTTATGGGAAGGCAGCATCGCTGTCATGCTGGTTTTCTGAAGGAAACACCTTACTGCTGTCACACCTCTGTACAGTCAGCAGTACGACTTCGCCTTCAGACCTTGGGTTTGTTGCTTTTAGTCTTACCGCTCTTCAACCGACCTTTCTGAAGTGGTAGGACCTTGAGGAACAGTTGTTCCAGTCAGTATAGCTCGTTTGCTTCATCACGATAGGCAAGCCCGACCATCACGTCAAGGTAGCAACAACGGTCGGGATTGGTCCATAAATGGATCCCAAAAGTTACCATTCATTATGCTTATCGCGACATAACACAAATAGAATAAAGATCGTAGTAAGTGTGAGAACTACAGAGGAATCACACTACTGTCAGCACCAAGGAAAGTTTTCAGTGGTGTTACTGAACCGAACAGATCATTCAGTAGATACGTCTTCAAGGTAAACAAGCTGGCTTTCGTAGCAATTGACCATGTACGGACAAAACTGCAACGCTGTACAATCAATTAAACATAATTCATCAGTTCCTATTAAGCTCCTTGATTATGAGGCAGTATGCGACAGTGTGAATGAAAGTTACGGTAGGATCGCCGATATTATGAAATACGTGAAAAGATCTTCACCATCATGCGAAGCCTTCAGAAGGGATACTGATATGTGGGCATGAAAAATAATGACTGGTTATTTACCTAATCGGACTAGTAGATAGTGTGACAGGTACTAGATGCGCTACATATTTTCCTACCCCTATTATTATTTCTGACGCGGCAACATACTCGAGTTCTAGTCAGGCTTGTCACGTGCTCTTGATCTGAATTGTGTTGAAGTTTTGTACAATGGACACTGAGAGGGCATCTAGTGTAGATATTCGTCTAAGGCAAGTTAGTTTAAGGTGGAGAACCGAGAGCTATTTCAGACACACATCGCAGAAGCCAACAAACTGGATTATCAGATAGATTCCAAATCGAAGTCCTGATGGCAAAGAAAGAGGCCCTAGGAACTGGATGTGTATACCTAAAAGAGAGAGCCCAAGACAGAGTTGTTAGGATTCCTTGGTCGGTGGCCTATGGTGCAAGAAGGGTACAACATTTAATTATATCCTTTTTAGTCCATATCGATACTACAGCACATGAAGTTAGAATGTAGATGTTTAGTCATTTTAAATTTAGCTTGCTAGCTTGTTGCTACTATGAATAATCTACACTCTTGAAAAAGCCATCTTTTGTTAACCTTCTCAAATGTCTGAGGTGATTATATTAAGCTGCTTGAATTTTAATTTACTGGTAGCTGTATTAAATCTTCATACAAGTCAATATAATCCCTGAATTCATGCTTCAACTCAACCAATACTTTTCTAACAGTTAACCAACATATTTCTTGTTGACCAGTATCATCTAATATAATGAAATGTATCACATCTCATGACCTTGAAAATGTAATGTGACTAAGTTTGAAATAAAATTTCTATCAATAAAATCTACTACTATGTATAATGCTTAGTAAGTATTAAATAAACTGATCCACAAAGAATTGTACTTTCGTTACACGGATGCATAAAATTAACAATTTATGCCAACCAAGTCATTATTTCCTATCCACATTATTGATCCAATATATAAAGATATAAATGAATATGCAAAAGATTATGATTATGATCTACGTGGTGTACCAATATCAAAATGGAAATTGATCATAAATTATCCATTAATTTATTTAAAATATTATTTAGAAAATTACTCGTTTCTGTCATATTTACTACCGGTGATAATACTTTTGATATTTTATATTTTAATGAATCTTGTTGAAAGTATCAACTGTTTATATTATAAAATGAAAATTGCAAGAGAATGGAAAAAATTTACAGATAAACATTATCGTCCAGTATCAACTGAAAACAAACCGGAAGAAATCAATCTTAAACGATCAAAACAATCCCACGAACAAAGTAAAGAAGATACTTCAAACGTTACAGAAGGACAACAGAAAGAAGATTTAATAGACCCTGTCCTTACCTGCCTACCCTATCATATGAGAAAGTTACTAGCAATTACAACTGTAAACGATAAAGTATCGAATGAAACTAATACAGAATCAATTGATGAAAAAATCCAGCTTCAGGAAATTGAAAGCCAAGGTTGGATAAACGAATACATATCTAGAGTTCGTGTTGCAATGAAACAAGCTGCAAAGTATCAAAAAATAAAATCTTATCCTTGCGAAGAATGGAATTCTCTTGTGTGCTACAATGAAGATGGTAACGACCAAAATGAAGGTCAGGAGAATCCTGACAGTATAAAAGAGGTTGGTTCGTCCAAAATGAAAACACAACTAGTAGATAATGACCACAAGGATGACAAAAATAATGAGAAGCAAAATCCGCTACTAGAATTTCATTTCAAAGGAACTGGTGAATCACATGGTAAATTATCTGGTACTAGGGAACAGAATTCGTTAGCACCGATTTCACACAAAAAACGAAATAAACGTTATCAATCAAAACAACGCTTAATGAAATTTAATAAACCGTTGTATTTAACAACTGAACAAGCGTTGTTTAAAGATAGTGGTCAAGTATCAAATCTACATAGTCTATCATATAGACAGAATAGTTATCATTATTACCCGAGGCATCATAAAAGGCATAAACGTTCTGAAAAAGAAATTTAAATGAGCTGCAAATAATCAAACAAACATTTGTTGCATCAGACTTGAATGAAGACTGAAAATACTATAAGAAATCAATTTTTTCCTTATAAATAAACAAAACATTGATGGAAGCAAAGAAGTAACAAATACTTGTCAGTTGATTCATTTGGAATATTACTACATTATTATAATAATAATAACAAGTAAAATTCTTACGGTTATTAATGAAATTACTCTAATTTTACTGCATAAACCTTATGGGCCAGAATTTTCGCTAGTGTTCACTAGAGCGTCAACTTCATGAAGGTAATACAACATTTTAAGCAATCCTCTCTTAATGCATACAATAATCCATTTTCCTAATTTATAAAATGGACACGGGTTTTTGCATACAAAATTGATTATAATTATTATCAAATCTTTTATTTTTATCAGGTCTTAAACTATAATGATTGCTTCACTTTTTTCACATAGCTAACAAGAATATTTTGGGAAAGTTACAGCAATTTAAAATTTTTTTAAAATAATAAGTGTATGCAATTTGTAATACTGTGGTGTATGCTACTTATATTGACAGACACATGTAGTATGTAACGCCAATCAGAAGAGGCATGCCCGGAAGTAGAAGGTTGTGTTGAAGAAAACAGGAATGTAAACAGAGTAATTGTAATAACAACAGGAATGAAGAAACGATGAAATTTGTGAAAGACAAATGATAGATGTGCAAATGAAGTATTGAATAAATGGTTTCCATAATTTACGAAGACACTCTAGCATTAAGTAATAAATTGATCTTTGCCGCCTGAGTCCTCGTTCACTACAATACTATTCATAAACTTGACGTTATCAGCTGGAACAATTTCTACATTGTAGGTTCTTATACAACATAAAACAAACTTAAAATGAATGTGTTAAGGAGACTTCGACAAAATAAACTGAAAGTTGAATTTATTCAAATTTCATACGACGAACGGGAACTTTGGGACAGAATTTTCGAAGGACTATTTCAATATTCACTATCAATGTTTTGACATCAGTAAAACGTAAGATCGATGACTTTACAATAATATACAGGTATTTTCGATATAAAAAGCCAATTATTCAAGCTGTGTTATCTTAATTACAAATAGTTTAAGGGTCTTATCATCATTCTCTAAATGATTTAGGTGTCTGAACATGAATCCTAAGTAATAACAATAATAAAGAAACTAATGTTTTTGGTCACAGCAACAAGACAACTATAACAATGAGAAAGATCTCTATCTGTAAAAGGTTGCTCAAAGTTTTACAGATACTCAAAATCTATTAATTTACAATGAGGGTATTAATAAGTGTTAAAATGACCAAGATGTTAACTCAAAATTTTAGATGCCACAATATTTCATGAGTGAAAGTAGCAGTCATTATTGAGAATGCTCTGTCTTTGACACTTACTAATTCTTAATTTAACGAAGACTTTAAGTGCCTCATTATGCAGACAACTATGAATGACTATATGAAACATTAAACATTATAAGGTTTAAAATCGGTGCATGATTACAATGTCATTAAATGTCAAACAAATAAACTTCATACAAGTTACTTGAATCGACAGTGAGTCTATTCCAAAGATCACACACTGGAAATCAATAAACGAGAACAAATGCATTAATTTAAAGAGCGAACAAAATTATTTATTAATTTCATACTATAATATAACAAGGTAATTTAATATGTTTTGCTTGTATGCAAGTGTGCTGGATCTCCTAAATGTAATATAAAGGTCAAATATAAAAAAATAATAAAGTTTAGAATAGAAATAAAATTTTACAGAAAAGTTCCTGTTCACTGTCGAATAACTTATTTTTTGTAGAATTAAAATATAGAAAGAAAAGCAAGAAACAATCAAATAATATTTAATTCAGCATTTGTCGAAGTATAAAAATCATTTAAACCAAATATTATAGTTAACTGTGCCAATTTCGACCTAGCGCTTCTAACACTGCTACCTCCATCAGTAGTATCATGAACAAGTAATCGATTAACACGACGTCTTAAAAATTGACTGTAACTTCGAAAACTTGCATGAACCGCATACAACTGCCTCCATTCTGTATGCTCAATCTGTTCATTACTTAATAACTGTTGTTGAGTACCATCAATATGACTAAACTGATGATGCGATGATTTAACAATCCATCTTCCTGTTAATAAAGCACGATGAAACTGATGTGCACATGTGAGCAAACCTTGGAAAAGTAGATTTAATTCACTATCTGATACATCCAGCAAAAGCCTAAAATAAAATTAAAATATGAACAACATTATTACTATTCTACTTCATAAATACACATATGTAAACAAAGGTAGCCACATTTAAACACAGTCAGTATCAAAAGCATAGGCGGTAGAAATATAAGGTCGTACTGTTATTTTAACCAATGTTAAGATTAGCAAACGAAATACAGACTAATCAGCATAAACATTAGCGAACACTGAAATATGAACAGTTAGAGTACGACCCAGAGATTCACAAACGGGAATTTACATAATTTGACATTTAAGTGAATCTTATAAACAAATAAGTAACTGATTTAAAGCCCACATTCTTTATACAGTAATGGCAAACAGCCTGTTCACAACATTAATGCTTTAACGATTTAGACTGATATACATTCATGCTGATAACAGTCTATCACCAACTCAGGGGAACATACAGCTGAGATTCAAACTAAGAATCCAGTTTCTGTTTAAAAAAGTTTCACGCAACAACGATTGTAGAAAGTAGACTGAAGCTAATATTATCTACTGTAATTTTTGAGTTTATTTTTCTTCGTTCCCTATATCGTTCACGAACCTTTATCTTATGACTTCATCTCTGAGCTATTCATTCCTTTAATATTTACATATAAGTGTTTTTAAATTGAAAAAGTGGTAATATAGTCGGCAAAAAAGTTGAAATGAATGATATATATCATAATAAACCGACTAATCAGTCAGTCAGTCACCTACAACGTAGGACCATGCACGTATATGTATCGGTCCAGGATGCCATATCGCATTAGCACAGCAAGATGAACACCGGATTCATAGGAGTGGTTAGGTCAAAGGTGGTAATACATAGAAGAAAGATTGCATATAAGGATACAGTACAGGAAGAAAGAATTAGTTAGTAGAAAGAAATATATGAAGTGATTTTAATCTCTTAGTTTAAGGGAAGACAGGGAGTGTATACACCGACTAATCAATTAAAATTCAATAAAAAAAGAAGTACTCGTTTATGAACTTTCCACTTATAAACATAATAAACGTTAAATTAAACTTCCTTTCTTTTGAACCAGAACTGTAACGAATCTTACTTCAATATATCAAATTCAGAAGACATTTCTACATAACCCGTAATACAATAAACACCAATAATAATGTAATAAAAAGAAAAGAAAATTTACCCAGATAGAATTTCATTCAAATAATTTTCATGTGCATTGAACAACACATTCAAATTGTTAATTTGTTCACTTTTAATAGATTCTTCATTATCTGTAATATTTTCTATGATATGTTTATACATTTTAAATGAATTACCTTCGGACATAAAATTATAAAATGTATTAGATAATCCTAAATATTTCATAAATTTACTCCAACATGCATTAACATGATTTGATAAATGTATATTTAAACTATGAATAACTTGATGTAATTCATGTAACCATAAATAGATAGAATGAAATGATTTTGATAATTGATCAAATAGAGTAATGAATGATGATGGTGATGATGATGATGATAAAGTCGAAGATGAAGAGATATTTCTTAAGTTTAATAAATGATTTAAACAATAATTACGATCATTTTTTAATTGTATAATACATGAATTCAATGCCCATAAAGCAAATTGACATTGGATTAAACGTTGAAATATACAATTATATTTTTTTATTATATTAACATTAAAACAAAGATTAATTGGCCATGGAGCATTATACATTAAATGTAAATTCTTAAAAGATATATATTCATATTGGTCAATAATAGATGAACTATTATCAGCTATAGAATGATTTGATTCTATATCAAAATCATTATGTAAAGAATCAATAGTTGATAGTTGTTTTGTTGTTGATATTGACGACAAGGAGATCAAATCTAAGTAATTCTTAATCAAGTTTGTAGTGTTTAACAGTGGAGAATTAACAGAAATATCGTCATGTTTATCATTATTATTAAGATCTGAATTAAAATTTGATAATATTTGTTGATTTGACATTTCTGAACTGACTGATTTTAAAAGCTGTTGAAGATTATGTGTATCAAATATGCTGGCACGATCATAAACTGTTCCAGAAGCCTAGAAAAAATAACGATAATCTATATTTGCATTCTATATAAGTAGTAGAATACAGAAAATATGTTTTCAACTGTTTGGGAATTCATCACTTGAATACAACCTACATACATCCTAATCAGCGTACATGATTCCACTTCAACCTGATAAGAGAATATTTGTCGTTTTAAACACTAAAACGCTTTCTTGCATTGTGATTTCAATGAAGAGTTCTACTTATTGCATTTACATGACCAATTAATTTCTGTCTAAAGCAAAATGTTGACCAATATTAAAAATCAATTGATGTATATGGAATATCAAATTAAGAGAAGTGGGGAAATTCTTATTCCAAATCCACTGGTTAACATTGGCTCCTTAATTTCAACAAAATGCACGTTACAGGAATCTGTCCTAATAATTATAGTTAGTGACAACTTAACTTCTAAGTAGTTTTAATTCATTAAAAACGGCTTCTCTACGAATTAATCTGAATTCAACCAGACGGTAACCTACTATTTCAAAAATACTGCTCAAAATTCAAATTAGAAAAAGGCATATTATCGATAACTAGTGTAAACATATCAGTATGAAAAATCTTGATTCTAAATTATAAATACGCTCTACATTCGTTTCTATAAGATCATCGTCTAGATGTGCTAATGTTCAACCAAGCACCAAAACCAAAGATACACTAATGAACAAATGGAATTATTTCCCATTTTTCCAAACGTGATCCTCGTCAATACTAACATTTTCTGAGTTACTTACAACAAATTTAATACCCTTACATTAATTTTAAGGAGAGCAAACACAACAGTATTTTCAACTGTCATCCCTGGAAACAAGTGACCGAAAGCGAAATACAGAATGAAGAGCTTAACAATAAGAAAACAGACATAGCTTAATAACTCGGTACAAATATATCCAAAGGGCTGTGAATGAAACGCCTTGCACAAGAGCCGGAGATTTTATCCGGCTTTTCAGACGGAACTTAATAAAGTATGTATGAATAATAAAACATTACATGCTTAATGAATAAATCATATACAGTCAGTCAGTCAGTAACAACGTAGAACTTCGTACATACGTACATCAGTTCGAGTTGCCACACCACATTAGCACAGAGATGCAGTTGTCGATTCAAATCCCGTAGTGGTAGAGGTAATAAGAGTATAAGCAGTAATCGGGAAGATTAGGGTTTGGAGATGTTATTTAAAGAGTATAATCCAGTGAAATAAATTTGGAAAGAGGAAAAAAGGGACATGAAGAATTCAGAAGATTAGAACTTGGGTGAACACAAACAGTGGATGCACCTGCGCCATTGCAAACGATTTTCAGCCATGTCATTTAGGATCTCTAACCATCGGTTGTTATCATCTCGCGGTCCCCAACCAGGTAGTCTACACCTACCAACATGACTCAGCTCACTTGTCAGTGACTTCATGGACTTGTGCCATGTTTTGGTCTGGCCGCCCCTGGCTTTCTTCCAACCTACTCCTATACCACTGAACATAGCACGTCGAGGCAGTCGGTCGTTGGGCATACGTAACACGTGTCCCAGCCATCTCAACTGATGAAGTTTCACTACTTCATCAATTGATTTGCCATCCTTACCTAGTACCCGTTTCCTAACAACTGTGTTACTTACTCGATGGTCCCAGGATATACGAGCAATGTTTCGAAGACACCTATGATCGGATACTAGTAATCTACGAATATCCTCTACTCTTACCGGCCATGCTTCACTGCCATAAAGTAGGACGGGACGAACTGCTGCGCAGTAAACCCGTCCTTTGGTTGATAGACGGATATCTCGCCTACGCCATAAATGACGCAAGTTGGCAAAAGCTAGTCGAGCCTTCTGTATCCGTGCTGAGATTTCATCACACACTAAACCACAAGGGCTGATGAGACTTCCAAGATAAGTGAAGCGGTCGACACACTCAACTACTTCACTCCCTATCACTAGTTCGGGTTTCGATGTAACCCAATCCTGAAGCAACATTTTGCATTTTGAGGGAGAGAATCGCATCCCGAACATGCTTGCATTGTTGCTTAGAGTGGTCAGAAGACTCTGCATTTTGTCAGCGTCTTCACCAAATAAAACTATGTCATTTGCATATTCTAAGTCAACAAGTGAAACTCCCGGTAGAAGTTCAACCCCTGGAAATTTAGATGAGGAGAGTGTTATCTCTAAAAGTACGTCGACCACAAAGTTGAACAAGAATGGGGAGAGTGGACAGCCCTGACGAACACCACTTGAGGTAATCAATTCTGATGACAGTTCGCCATAAGCTCTCACTCTACCAGTTGTGTTCGAGTAGAGAGCCTTTATAAGGTTAATGTACTTCTTTGGTACTCCTTTCAGTGACAAACACTGCCATAGAACCTCACGATCAACAGAGTCGAATGCCGCCTTAAGGTCGAGAAATACTACCATTGTGGGGCGTCTGAATGTGTGTCTGTGTTCCAGAACCTGACGTAGTGTGAATATCTGATCTATACAACCACGTCCAGGTCGAAAACCGGCCTGGTTTTCTCTAATCTGCTCTTCACGAGCTTTGATTAGGCGTCGAAGTATTATTGAGGCTAGTATTTTAGACACTATATTAGTCAAACTGATTCCTCTGTGATTGTCACAAGAGGACTTTTGTCCTTTCTTATAGACTGGCACAATCAGTGATTGAGACCAGTCAGATGTGATTACGTCCAGTTCCCAAATTCTACCTAAGACCTCGGTTTATCTCATTGCTAATACTGGACCACCATCCTTAAAAATCTCAGGAGTAAACCTGTCAGGGCCTGCTGCTCTCCCTCGTTTCAGATTTCCTATGGCTTTTTCAACTTCGTAAAGGGACGGAGGACCTACATTAATTTGCCATTCAGGTTGACTAGAGATCGTGGGAAACCGAAGTGTGGCTGAAGGCCAGTTGAACTGACCCCTAAAGTGTTCTGCCCATCGATCCAATCTCCTGGATTGAGAATGAATAATATGTCCATCTTTCTCTGAGATTGTTTCGCTAACAGCAGGGTTCCTAACACCGGTTTCCTTAACAAGTCTGAACAATTTTCTGCTATTACGTATTGCCACTGCCTTTTCCACCTCTCTTGCTTTCGCTACCCACCATTGTTCGCGATCATTGCGTAGGCTTCTTGTCAGCTTGCGCTTAAGCTGACTCCGATCTTCATTATGTTCAGAGCCAGGTGGAATGAGTTTCCGAGCATCTATCAGTGCGATAGATGCTGCTGAGATCCAGTGTTGCTCCCTAACCTTCTGGTTTACCTTACTAGCAGATATCACTGCTGTTTCCACAGCTTTTCGGATATCATTCCATGCTGCCTCAGGGTGGGCATCACATACATGGCTGCCTAACTGTTTTCCTAGTTGTTCCTGAAATATACTCTTAGCTTGACTATCATTAAGTAGGGCCCTAAGAGGTTTCCTTGCAGCATCTTTCTTACGTCCAGTAAGACGCAAGCAAATACGCGCTCGCACTAGAGCATGATCTGAATCTAGGCATGTGCTCCAGAATGAGCGACAGTCTTCTATCGAGCCCCTCCATCGGTGGCTGATAGCGATGTGATCTATTTGGGTCCAACGTTGGGACGAATTAGGGGGTCGCCATGTTAAAAGATGTTTTTCCTTATGCTTAAAGTTAGTATTTGCAAGGAACAGGCGGTTATCCGAGCATGGCTGCAACAGACGGTCGACATTATCTGTTCTTTGAGCCACGACACCATAAGATCCACCTAGGTGTCTTTCCCTATCGCTTAGTTTACCTACTTGAGCATTAAAGTCACCGACCACTATTACTACATCCGAGCGCTTAGCTTTTCGGAGAAGGTCCGAAAGCTTCCTGTAAAACTCATCTTTTACATCATCTGAGCTGCAGTCAGTGGGAGAATAGGCAGAGACGATGAAGAGGCAACGACGAGTGTCCCTATCTTTTCGGATCCTCATTGTTCCATTCAGTCGGACAGCGCACAAACGACTGTCTACTGGGATCCACTCTAAGAGAGCTAGTTCTGCCCTAGGACTCAATGCCATACCTACGCCGGCGAGGCCACGGGAAGCAGCATCAGGGCTTCCAGATACACGAAGCGTAAATCGAGTCGGTTCTTTATTTTGGCATGGTGAGGTCAAATGAATGACGCTACTTGGATCCTGTATGCGCATTTCGGAGACGCAGCACACATCGATGGCGCGAGATTCTAAAGTCCTAGCTAAGGAAGCCTGCTGTCCTATTTGGCAAAGTGTTCGTACGTTAAAAGCTCCTACGTGTAGTTTAGAGCGTGGTTTCAGGAGACCAGGAATAGCGTTCCACGTACTCGAATCGTTTGCTCTAGCGGTGCGAGGTGATAAAGAGACGTGAGGAGGGTTAGTCATGGAGATAAGAGAGGTATTAGGAGGTGTAGGAAGGATTTGAATGTGACCAACTTGGTCTCGTGTGCTGTTACGGGTATGAGGGCTGGTGTCACTTCCCGGCTGCCCACACCGTGGAAGGGTATTTCTTGAGGAACCTGAAAAGGAAATTGGATTAGTGTTGGTCTTAACGACCTGGGAGCGTGACCGCAGAGCCCAAGGGACAACTGCTTGAGGCCGGTCGCGCACGGCCTTTTCGTGGGTTTTTTTGACGTGTTAGCTCCGTTCTTCAAAGGGCCTTACCGCCGGAGACGGAGATCCGTGAGGTAAGGTGAGGTGTGACATTTTTAGGGTCGACCTTTTCTAACCCCACCCCTCCTTGTCGGAAGGCAGCATCGCTGTCATGCTGGTTGTCCGAGGGAAACACCTTACTGCTGTCACACCCCTCTACAGTCAGCAGTACGACTTCGCCCTCAGACCTTGAGTTGCTGCTTTTAGTCTTACCGTTCACCAATCGACCTGCCTGGCATGGTAGAACCTACAGGAACATATGTTCCAGCCAATATAGCTCGGTTGGGTCATCACGATAGGCAAGCCCGACCACCGCGTCAAGGTAGCAGCTTCGGTCTGATCGATATGGATATGTAATGATTATATACTAAACTAGTTGAAGACACATTGGAGAATAACTCATAGATCAGTAGGATTTATGGACAATTTTTATTTTGAAAAGCACCAGGAAATTCAGCAAAATACAGTATTACAAAATGTAAATAAGGTATATGCCTCATCAGACGAAAAAGCTTGCATGTTTAGAACGAAGGTATTCTGTACATGTCGACTGGCTTTCTTTTTTTAGGATACCCTAGAAGTTTCCCATGTAACTTATTACATAAACAATTGAGTTTCTTACCTCTGTACAGTCATTCCAGAATTTATCTTCAGAATATAATTTATGCCTAGATTATTCTATTCTGTCTAGAATTGATCAAATTACGGCGAAATGTACTACAAGTCAAAGACACTAGAAGTCGAGAAGAATGTAATACTTAAGGAGTTCAATTAAAACCTAAGACCAGGGACAACAACAATCTGGTTACTTTTTTCTAAATATTGCAAAAATATACATAATGAGATAACACCAACTTTAAACAATCATTTGTAATAGTTTACTTGATTTAAAATTTAATAAAACAAACAATTACTACTAACCTTATGAAATAAAGCATTCAATAATGGTTGAGCAAAACTTCCATTGTTTAGGAAATAAGTTTCATACAAACAATAAAAGTGATCACATAGACGAAGATCAAATATGAAATAATTGCACAGTGTTTTGTTAACATGTTTCATGCTGTAAAATATGTAGAAAAACACAGAAATGAAAATTTATTCAAAGAAAGTGATAATTATCACTATAAGGTTGTGAAGATTGTTGAATTTCAAATAAAATCATGAACCGGCCAATGTTGGGTTCGAGTCCTGTGTGTGAGATCATGGATGTGCATTGCTGAGTCCCATACTAGGATTAAATGGCCGTCCAGTGCTTCCAGGCTTTGAATGGTGGTCTAACATTGGTCGGTTTATGATTACAATTGAAAGTGATGATTAGTTGAAAAACATAAAATTTAATGTTCTATTTGTTTTCTTATCATCTAAATAGTGCCTAACAAACATATCAAATTCATAGAATCATTAACTCAAACTTTCAAAATAACTTATGTACCATTTTCCATTGCACCGATTTCTGTATTGCTGGCTTTAAGAAACTAGATATTTAAATCATCTTAAGCAAAGACGTTAATTTATAGTTTACAACCAGGCAATAGAGATACATTCTGTTCAGAAAGGTAGAGAATGTTCAGTAAGATCACATTTAAGGTATTGATGATTTGTTTGGTTTATAAAAATCTCTTTCAATGTCACTCAGATCCATTACTAAGGTTTAAGTTAACTCCACATCAAAACGTTAAATTGCAAAAACCAACTACAACTCGTCTTAAAAGTGGAAAATTTGAAAAAGTTATAAAAGTAGATCGCCAATATCTTCAGGACAACTAAGCGTAAACTTCTAACGACATAATATGAATATATATACAGCACATCCACTGGTAATTTATAATCTTAAAAATGAAAGAGAAATTTTCAAAACAAAGTAACACTTTTGAAAATGAAAGAAACGAATCAAATAAAACCTACTGAATACTGAGAGGCCAAATCAAGGAACGGTTGATTAGTACACTTAAGGGCATTAATAGTGAACCATTTGAATTTTTAAACAAATTGTCAAGTTCATTTGAAGACTGTACAGATGAATCCGAGTTTTTGAATATTGACGACACAGAAAGACAATTTTGATCTATGGTAACGACAAAAAAAATTAGTCAAAAGAAATTATTTTTTAACTACCAGAATAGGCAATCAGTTGAAAATAACGAAACTAAAATTGTTGGCACGTATCATCAATTTGATAATTAAGACTAACATCCTAGATGCTCTGACTTTCTGGTGACTTCCGAGTTGTCAGATCTATCAAGGCCTATGGGATATTACATGACGATATTATTGCGGACTAGGTTTAGTGCAAGCTCCATCTCATGAATATGCAGTCTGCTTATTTCTAAAGTAGAGCAGTGGCTCATAGGTTTAAGCAATTGTCACTTGACGAGTAAAAATTAGCCCCAGCAACCACGTCTTAATTAATTAGTCAGCAAATAACCTAAAAAAACCTGTAATTTCCAATTATATATGACTTAATTATAGTTTTGTCCTAATATTTTGTGCATAAACATGTTGCTATTAGGAAGAAAAACCTATTTTGCTGAGCAGATGTTTTGTCTTTTGACATCTGTTCATATGGGGGCTTGTGTCAATGATCAGGTTTTGTGAGCAGTTATCACTCGACTACATTGTATCATCCTATTTCACATATCCATCAACATTTTACTCATCTATTTAACAATTCTTAAACATTTTTCAATACAAATCATAAAACCTTCCTCTATAACAGCTTACGAGCAATAAATCGAGGTTATAATCATCGCTTTGCCTAATTCAGTGATATCACCAGCCCTCAACACAAATATTATAGTTCATAGCTGAGTATAAAAACTTGTACATTCACAGTCAATATTGAGGGAGTGTGTACGATATACTTTGTGAGCACCAAAATGTATTTCTGAGTATACGGAATACAAATATGAGCAATATAACGGATACTTACACATCCATATGTTCAACAAATCACTAAAACATTATGAGATACATTTATATAGTATTGGTCTCAATTAAATAACAACCAAACAATCATTCATCAATTATAGGAGTCGATTTGATACACGTTACGTGTAAACAACGTTCCAAGCTAGAGATGATTTAGGAATAATATCTTGTTTGAATAATGAAGGATAGCAATTGAGTTTTTTACAGGTGGAAATTTCAGTCTTGAAATAAAATCTAAATGAAAAGAGACTGCATCACACTCTACAAATAAGTGATAAACTCATTCGAGACATTGAATTTTAGTAAATATTTGTGGATATTTGTATTTGATTATCGGCTGCAATTATTTTGTCAAATTTGAAGGTACTACAGAAATATGCAAACATAATCTTGCACTTATACGTTAACGATTGAAGATTTATGTTACTGAGATACAACCCAAATAATTCAAGAAGCGAAATTACTAAACAAGTTTGCTTTGGGAGTTTAAAGTTAGAATTAACAGAGCTCTATACTCCAGCTTTATATATATTGAGACTTATCAGAAACCTTTGTCACGGAATCAATTTATGTTATTAGAATGCATTACCGTGGAATATCGACAAATGTCAGAAAGGATACATAGCATGACACTGGATTTTTTTCTAGAGCATATAGGAACTTTACAAATGTATATAGCCAAAACTCATTATATTACGTCACTTTTGGACCCCGATGGTATGAGGACAGTTGAACCTAGTGATTCGTAGGAGAATATTCACAATCAAACACAGTTTCAATAAAGTTGAAGCACTAACTGCACTGATAAATCACATGAAAAAATACACTATATTTTAGAACAGACATTAAGAATGTAAACGTACCAAGTGATGGGAATTCTTTGGTAAACGGTTTTACTGGTGACGTACTGTCCGAAAATTCTAAGGCTTCTTTATAAAATGTGACTGCGTCCGGTTCAGGCAGTTCCGTAGCTAAGCGGACTGCATCCTCTTTCTCACGTTCTGCTTCCCAAACTTTATGCATACAATAATGGAAATGACAGGAAAGAATAACAAGCAATTAATAAATCATATATATATATATATATATATATATATATATATATATATATATATATATATATAGAATCAATCGAAATAAAAATTCATTCTTTTAAAATGCGTAGTAAAAAATAGTTTATTTATAACGATACTAATCAGCTAAAAATGAAATCTGATATCATCAAGAGGGTAATCGAAATAAAATGATGGAGTTACTTTCATTTAGAGCTTCAGAAAAGCTTTAAACAAAGCACACATTGTTTACATTCAGTCAGTTAATAATTTTCTCATCAACGTTATGTCGCCAAATACGAAGAATTCATTGGTCTGGAGTGCAGGCAAACATTTACCTTTATCGACGGTAAATTTCAGATGAAATTATTCATGTAGAGAAATGTAAAATCTTTGCCACAATAAATGATATATGTATAAATATACCTGGAAATATATGCTCGTGTAAAACTATTCAAACAATGTAAGTAAACTAACCTGACGGCCTAGATGATGGACCAAGACCTTTACCATAGAGTATATGCTGAATAGTTGAATCAGAAGAATGACCAAAAAGATTACGTTCCCGAAAGGATTTCATAGATGTTAAAGTATTCAAATTATTTGCATCGGCAGATTTGGTAAATTTAGGCTCAATCGATTTCTAACAAAACGGGATTGTAGAAGAAAAAAATAGGTAGTAGGTGTATAAGAATGAAGTAATAAAATATTGAAGAAAAAGGACAAGAAAATAAGAGATGGGTTTAACAATTTTTACGATTATTTACAAATAATGAAAGCACAAATAGATACATATATGTATAACGGCAAAAGAGAACTGAAACAAAAACTTTATTTTACTATTTATTTTATTGTTGGACAAATCAGTATAAATCACCCATGACAATTTTAGATCGTCTTATAATGTAAATAACGACTGCTATTTTTTTATATATTAATCCTTCGTATATACAACATAAATGTTTGATATTCGGCAACTCAATAAAATATAGGGCTCTGTGAGTACTAATCATATTGCCGTCAACTTTGGTATTATCAAAGCAAATCTGTTCTCAATATCCCATAAATTTGCTACGTTATATCATACACCAACCGACTGATAACTAATTCTACCTTTCATCTGATTGGACTTTGGTTTGAAACAAAAAAAACAATAATACTGTAACTATGACATTGTACCAAAGTTCTAAAAATCTAACTTGTCAACCAGTGGAGGACCCAATTAATACCATTAGAAGTAACATTGTTGCTCTCTTGAGATGTCTGTCAACAATAAACAAGAGAGAACTTGTCCCGATCTAGGTTAGGGCCGTGACACGATGGACTAACCGGTAAAATTTTGAGGTTAGAAATGAGTGAATCCAAATCGAGACTATCGGCCTTGAGTAGAGAGACAAAAGATAACCTGTCGCCTAATTGGTTAACAAGCGAGAGAGAGAGAGAGAAGACGAACTAACTGAAACACTATTCAATTTATTAGTGATTCAACTTAGTGTACAAAAGATACATGAATAAATAGACGTGTTGGGATACTCAGAAAAATATCCCAATAATTATCCTGTTAAGTCTAATAGTGTCCTTGGACTTTAAATGGACATTTCCTATTGGTCAATATTTATTTACTTGTCAAATATTGTACAAATGTTGTTTTCTATTTTATGGTACGATGTGGTCTGTTTGATTGGTATATAAACAGAGTATGTTAGAAGTACAGTGATTCATATATCAGAGGCTGAGACTTGTGTTCTGAACTCAGCTGGCTGGGCTAGACAGGGAGGCGGGGCCAATCAGGACTCTAGGCCGTTTTTGCGTGTCTCACGCGTCTTTGAATCGATCGATAATTCGCTAACCTCCAATCTGCAGCATTTCACGTTACAACAAGATGACTAACATAACCACAACGCATAAACAATTAGAAAAGTACGCTTACGTCCAAACTGGGCATCAGAGTAGAAAAAATGGAGTACAAAAGTTAGGTTTCAATAACAATAGCTTCGGAATAGAAAAGGGTATGACAGTGAATTATACATCAAACGACAGCTCATGATTTACAGAATAACCTAACGATAAAAATCAAATGTTAGTATTTTACAAACTTTAAAATAATGTCCGTAAAAATAGCTTCACGGCTTCTTCATTTCTCTATTCACATCAAACCTAATGAATGAACTAACAATGGACGGAAAGTCCGTCGCCCACTAAAACGTCAGATAAGGTTAGGGGATGCCATAGTATGGTCACTATTCAGATACGTACTCTAAAAGGAGAGGCAATTTTCCACACGTTCACTCCATAGACAGTGGGTCGTAATGTGAGAAATCTAAGTTCAGGCACAAGTTGTAAGAGAAGGACACCAGGTAGCATATTGGTAATGATCGCGTCGGAAAGTAGTGCTCGACAGAAGCTCAAAGGTATGGAAGTCAACGTAATCTGAACTTAAGTCGCCGAAACCCCATTAGGCACTAAAGCGACTCTCTTCTGCCCTTCGACACTAACCAGAACCAGAATAACTATCGAATGAATCTTATTGAAGAGATTATTTGACTAGTGGTAGAACTAATATTTGGTTGCTTTCGAGATGTAATTTATTGACGAGTACGGGGAGATTACGAAAAGATAACATTTCCTACACAGGTTTCTTCTAACATAACGGTGAAAATAATGTCCGTTAATGTAGATCCAGTAGATTATTGTTGCCTTTGCTGTGGCGCTTAGAGTAATACTAAAGCCAAAGGGGGAAAGTTTAAATGTCACTCATAAAATCGATTATTGAGATAGAATTTTCAATAAGAAACGAGCTGTTGAACACGAATAAAGGTATGTCGAGAATGAGAATGAAGCGAAACAGAAAGCTGAAGCAATGTAGAGTAATTTTAATTGTAGTAAAGTGATTCCCAATATCATTTGCAAGGATAACGAGGAGGAGGGAATAGAAAATTATCTTCACAATTATTTATTATCATATCTGTGAGAAAGTGAAATCATTTATAACCAAAGGAACACTGAAACAAACACCGAATGAATTCCAGGGGAAAAAACATACGTCATAGAATTTACCGTTAACTACAATTCTACAAAATTGTTACACGAATTATAACACGTGTAGTGTCAGTTATCATGCCAAGCCCATATACCTTATTCTAACTTCCGGACATCCTATTTTATTCATTTTACTTGAGCCATATTTTGACCTTGTCATTTATTCGCTTATCAACTAGACTGTTTTTATATGAGCGTATATGTGTGTGCACTCCTTATTTCATTAATCACATGTCTGTACCTTTAATTTGTCTGATTATAAATATTGAGTAATGCTTGACTAAAATGGAGTTGGCTTCCCAGCCATCTTCCATGCGTGACATTTTTGCTTTGCTATTCTTCATTCGTTTCACATACGAAATATATGTATTCTCAAGTCAATTCTCGTTATTCGACTTATTTAATTCTGTTATTGGATAACGCGATTTAAGTCGACGATGATAAACGAGAATAGGTGATAACAATCATTCGTACAATCTAAAATGGAGTCAGATTCACGGGCCACTTCATTGGTAAGCCCGCCGACGACGAACGCAACGCAGCAAGCTACGTCGATGAAGGCACTTCTGCACTCTATACGTTCGAAGAACATATTCAGCGAAGCCAGCGCAATCTCCAATCCGACGCAATCAGCACAGCCTGTGCAACATGACATGGACATGCTCAAGTCGTATTATCTTATCGATACTTTGTCCTCATGTCAATTATCTTCATTGATACATTTGTCGGATTGTTCCATTACGATTCAAATTATCATTGTATGCTTATTATTACATTATTGCCAATATCATGATCGAATGTGGAATTATTAATCTTGTTCGTGCTGTCATTAAATCATGACATTTTCGCAATCATATCACTCACCGAACAAATTATCATTTTATGAAAATTCCACTTAACTTTGTGAGAACTCATTGGGATATTTTTACTATTCGAAAACGTGAAATTTTCCTGCTTTAAGTGAGTTCGTTCCAATTTTTCATGTCATTTTGAACTAATATTGCATTCATTCACTTAGTCGAGGTCAGCAATTTATATTATCACAACATACATTTTTCATTTCGAAATCGCCTCCTATTATGTCTGTGGATGCTTCTGACTAGATGACTAGTAACCATTACGTTCATTTTATCTATTCTTCCACGTGCATAACTACATGCTGCATCACTTATCACCAAAAACGTATTCGAGTACTGCAACTACTATTCTATTCACATCGCACGGTATATCAGAACATAGAGTTTAGAGCTAGTCTCTCAAAGATACACTCTTGTTCGTCACATCCAAGTCAGTCTCATACGTCGCCATCGCTAATCATATGTATTAGTATTTTTGTCATGCCTTAGTACGGTTTTGTCGCAAACGAGATCGACCGCATCTCCCTCAAACCATACAAACCACTCTAGGCTTCATGACCAAAAAGGAATTCGACTCTACGTACCTCGTCTACTCAGTCACTATTCTGTTCCTCCGGTCATTTTTCTACTAATACATATTTAACGATAACTCAATTCATCTGTTATAACGCAGACGACAACGTCCACTGACTTCAAATTTTATGATTATTATCAATTGCAGTACAGCAACGAATATCACCCGTCGATGCAGATATCATTTCACGACTTCCCTATTATCATCCTACGCATTTAAATTCGAATTCACTCATCACTAGTCAATGCGATTTATTCTGCTGCGGCTCAACAGAACATATATTTCGCATATTTCACTATTTTGTCAGCATCACAGACCAATTTCTGTCATATTCTACTCTAGCCATTTTGACGATTTATTTCCCTGTCATACCCACAAACAATTTATTACTATTTTCACGATATTTTGAATCACTCATACAGACGTGTTATTTTATCGTTCAGACAATCACAGCATTGGTACATGTTAATTTTTTGTACGCTCATTAATTTGCTCATATTCACATGCTAAAATTTTCATTTTTGTCCGCGTCTTTGCGATATTCATGTATTTTTTGCATAAGCATGACATTTTCATATAATACACTCACCCCTCATGTGACACTACTTTATCGAGTGTTGTACAATTTTTTTTGGCTACTTATTGTTAACGTTAGCTTCATATCACTTCAGTGTTATTTTCGAAAACAGACATTTTTTCAAATGTGCTATTTTCTACGAGGGGGCTATGTAGTGTCAGTTATCATGCCAAGCCCATATACCTTATTCTAACTTCCGGACATCCTATTTTATTCATTTTACTTGAGCCATATTTTGACCTTGTCATTTATTCGCTTATCAACTAGACTGTTTTTATATGAGCGTATATGTGTGTGCACTCCTTATTTCATTAATCACATGTCTGTACCTTTAATTTGTCTGATTATAAATATTGAGTAATGCTTGACTAAAATGGAGTTGGCTTCCCAGCCATCTTCCATGCGTGACATTTTTGCTTTGCTATTCTTCATTCGTTTCATATACGAAATATATGTATTCTCAAGTCAATTCTCGTTATTCGACTTATTTAATTCTGTTATTGGATAACGCGATTTAAGTCGACGATGATAAACGAGAATAGGTGATAACAATCATTCGTACAATCTAAAATGGAGTCAGATTCACGGGCCGCTTCACACGACAGCGGAAAACATTTTTCGTGCATAATCAGTAAAACATAAAACTGATTTAATATAAACACATAAAACATCAAAATACAACACAAAGTGAATTAGGAATTATCACAATCAATATTGGATAATAAAAACATCAAAAAATCTTACTTCATCTGAACATTTTTCATGAGCTCCATAAATTATCTCTGACATTTGATCTTTGAATATGCATCCATCTTTATTACGCTGACGAAATTTAATACGTAGAATTGTTAAAGGATCATCACTCAATAGATTATCGGGTTTAACTAAGTTATTTTCTCTTTCATTTTGTACAGTATGAAATTGTAATTGTGGTTGACGATCATTATTTTCTTGTTGAATCATTTCAGATGAAATGATACACATTTCAGAAGACTGATTAGATATACTTGGAATAATTTCAACTGGAGATTTTTCATTAATTGAATTTTCATTCCATTTATCCTTACCCATGGGAGCAAAACGATTTGCTTTAAATTCTAATGCTTTAATAGCACTTGGTTCCAATGCCTCAATAAGCATATGATCATTTCTAATATGTTTTTCAAAAGTGAATCTACGTTCATCAGCTTGTTGTATTAAATTCGTGTAAAATGCTTCTAATTCAGCTCTGTGATAGAAATCAATAAGTAAGAACGATATATATATATATATATATATATATATATATATATATATATATATATATATATATATATATATAAATTGTCTAACAGTTTAATTGTTTAAACATCATTGTGATAAATAGTATCTAAGATTTCAATATGTTAAACTGTTAATTATATTACCGCCTATCTGTTTTAAACTAGACATGATAAACTGATATAAATTACCAAGTGTCTGAATAAAACAAGATTAACAACAGACTGCCTACCTAGATTTGCTTGTTTATTAAAGGAATTATCAATTAGCTGAGAAATTTATAAAGCACATAAATGTTAATTAACTTTGGAATGAATACAAAAACTAATTTGTACGGTTACATATTGATATAAGAGATAATTTAAAATGTTTATATCTCTGTAGTATATTACCATAATACAATAAGTAATATGATAATGAGACTGGTCTGGTTGATTGAGTTTACAATACCGCTGGATTGGATACTCGAGCAGTACACAGTTGAGACTGGATCACGTTATATCAGATAAACGATTCACAATTAAGAATGAAGAATCAGATTAACGCCAGACAACACTTTATTCCACACAATTGCAAGGAGTCACTTTCAATGGGTCCAAAGTAGAAATCAATAAGAGGAAAGGAAATCACAAATTTAGTAGTCAGTAAGTTGAATGCCTGTGCTTTTTACACTCAGTGAGCAACCACATTTACTCTCACTAGCACACACACCTAAAAGACAAGCTACGTTACATTGTATTTATAAGAGCCTACATATCCAGATTTGTAGAAATCTTAAGATTGAGTAGATATCTATATAGCTTTGACCTTCGCTGGAAAACTAAATGAATACATTTTACACATAAATGGTGTACATTACCTAGTACATTTATTTCAAACACAAGATAAATAAAATATTTTTGCACTTCAGATACGGATGGTGTTTAAGAATAACATGACCAACACTCGGATTAGTTTTAGCATAGATTGTGTTCACCGAATTGTGTACAGAGCTCAAGATAGAAATAAGTATGTGAAACGAAATGCACAATTGAACGATGAGAAGTGTTCTCGTTTCGCGCACACAAGAAATCTATGCATCACCACCATTTTACTACACTTCCGATTTAATTTCGACGTTAGCCAGAATCATTTCCAAAAAAGTGTTCAGTTTCCAAGAATTCAGATACCGAATACAACATTAATACACTCAAATTCCAATTAAATCAATTGTAACTTTGGTAACTAGACATTTAAATATTCGCGATAAGTAAGTGTAGTATAGAAGTTGAGTAGAGGAGCGTCTTTTCTATTATTTAAGGGGATTCAAATTTTCCCAGGATTTTAAAATGCCTAAAATTCTGAGTACTTTTGATTGACAGAGTAATTTAAGTTACATCCACTCAGAAACTGTCTAAAATTTTGCAGTACTAAAGAATCGTTAGCAAATATTAGCATGAAATCTCTCGAACTGTAAAAATGATAGAACTAAAATTTATAAATTGATACGGACTAGATGAAATGGGGCTAGCAGCGGGGTCTACGATGCGCGTTTCGCCCTGTTTTAGACTCTTCATCTGGATGCACCTGCATCCCAGAGTTGATGTTCACTCGGGGACTTCAATCAACTATTGTTTGCTTCAAGAGCCATCGCGTTACCTACTTAGCTACTGAGTCCAGATGTCTACTTACTTGTGCGATGGGTATGAGATTTAATTCGAACTGAAATGGTTTGTGTTATCACGAAACACGCGTCCTGGATTTCATTGCAATCCACGTTCAATCTAGTCTATATCAACTTGTGTCATAATGACTTTATCGAGGTAATTCGCACGGATGCCCGTTTCTCAACTAACTTTCGATCAAAAATATCAACAACGGGTTAATCCGAACCACCTTAAGTTGAATTAAGAATCATAAAGATATTGAATTTCTGATTACTACAGTTACATATATTTCATTATTTCTGTTCATTTATCAAGTACAGGTTTTACAATTTGGCTTTAAGACACATTGTTTTTATAAAGGGCTAGTGATACTATTCGCTTGGCAGAATCAATAAAGGTGGAATGAGATTTAAACTTGTAACCTAGAGGTTGAAAGTTGAGTAGTGTAACGCACCACTACTCTTTATATATATTTCACATAATTCCATTCAACTATAGATCAATTAATGTGGAGTAAACGTACTTGGTTTCAGCTATCACTTCTTCTCGATACTTATTAGACATAGAAATTGATTCCAACAGCATTTGATCAGCTTTCTTTTCAGCTTCTATTGCTTCTTGACGTTGTTTAGCCGCATTTTCAGCCGCGAACTTTAAATCAGCGAATTCAGTTTGCTGTTTAGTTAAATATGCCTCTAATCGTTCACGTCGTTTAGCTACATATATTTTTTAATGAGCAGAAAAGTAACGAACTAAACAGTAAACGTCTAGATAAGAATTTAACACAAAAGTTCGTAGTAGTAATAATAATGCTGTATTCAATACTTTAATACAGTACAGACATGTTAATATTCGGATGCATACTTTTTTCAAACGTTACTGATGTCATAAACTCCATGGATAGAATGATAAATGAAGATTATTGCTGTGATAAAGCAAGGACGATAATACTTACAGAATACAGTGAATTGATTACATTTCGTTGCATTTTATTCAGCTGCATACATTTACAAGTATTGTCGTTCTTGCTTTATTGAAATTTATGAAGGCAACCATTTGCATGAACATTATTGTAACTATCATTCATCAAATAAATACGGAAAAAAGGAGGCCATTTGTCGAAAGACAACTGCTACTACTAATTTATACTTTATACGTTTCATAGCTAATTTTGTGTACAATTTAAACCTCTTCAAACGATCTTGAGCTTGAATTGGGTCCAATGACTCATTATTCGCTTTTCGGAAGCATAATGCACATAAAAACTGAAACGATAAATTCATCGGTGCGTTTTCAACATTCGTAGTATTTCAATGGGAACATTGTGTAAATTATCTTGAAGTGTAGTGGTATATTTTCTGGCACAGTAAATTAATCATTTCATATCGTAAATAATGCTCTCTTTTACAAGACTTTATTAAACAAAACTGTTACTTAGATAAAGAAAGACTGATGAAATGCCAGAGAAATTACAATTGAGTGTACTTTTAGCGACAGAAAAGTACGTCAAGCGTAGTGTATATTAACATGGTTGGTTCAATTGATTTAAAAGAATGGTCTCTTATAAATAATAGGTAATTTCAGTGTAGTATCATGATACAATAAACAAGAATGGTCTGGAACTCACTTTCATTTCTGTATCACCAATTCATTTACTTAATCCATGACTAGCGTACTCAACAGAAACCATATGCCTAATCACCACAAAAAAGGACTCTGATTCTAACAAGCAAGCCGCAAATCCAAGCCACACAACAGATCCCGTTCAAAGCCTAGCCACTGCAAACAACTTAGTGTACGAACGGAAAGGTAATTTCTTACTTGTGTCTAGTTTTCAACACTGACAAGAAAGGCGGATTCCTCAGTAGTTATGAATAAAGTTATATATATATATATATATATATATATATATATATATATATATATATATATATATATATATATATATATGTATATATACCCAGCTTACCTTCAATGGCCGCGACTCTTGATGATTGAACTTGACTCACATATTTCAAGAAATTTTGTCGTTCAATAATCATTTGGGTAATCTTTTGCTTTCTTAAAGAAGAAGGTGAAAATTAGACAACAAGAAGCAATAGATAAATTACTACGAAGATAATAATACAAACACATCTGTTCAGGCATACTGACGCGAAAACAAATCAATTTATAGAAAAATTAGGCTGATATGAAATCAGTTATGGAGAAGCTGATTATATCAAAGCTAAGAAATTGTAGCTTGATGGTGCAGAGAAATAAAATATTACAAATTCCAATAAACAAATCACATTCAAGAGAGGTACAAATCATAGGCAATGAAATTTTTCAAAAGAAATGGTTTCTTACTTACGCATGTTACCCCTCGTGGAGGAGCATAGGCAACCCACATGCATTCTACATCCAACCCTATCCTGAGAAATCCTTTCCAGTTATTTCCAATTGCTATTCATCCTTTTCATGTCCGCTTCCCATTCCCGACGTAGTGCGATCTTCGGCCTTACATTTTTTCTTTCCCCTTCAGAATTACGAGTTGGCACCTGCCTCGTGATGCACTTTGATGATCTCCTCAATCTATGTCTTACCGACTACTAGCGTCTTTCTCCGATTCCCTCTTCAGTCGGAAGCTGCCTTGGTCTCTCCCACAGTACGCTGTTCCTGATGGTATCCGGCCAACGGACATTCAGTATCACACGTAGACGATTGTTTATAAATACTTGTAACTTCGTGATGATGGTTGTAGTAGTTCTCCAGGTTTCAGCTTCGCACAGCAGAACTGTTTTGACGTTCGTATTGAAAATTCTAACTCTGATATTGGTTGACAGTTGTTTTGAGTCCCACATGTTCTTTAATTGCAGGAATGTGGACATCGCTTTGCCAATCCTCACCTCTACGTCTACATCACATTTTTCATGTTCATCGATGGTACCACCCAGATACGTGAATGTTTCAACCTCTCCCAGAGTTTCTCCATCAAGTGTGATGCGGTTGGTGTTCTCCGTGTCGTATTTGAGGATATCGCTTTTCCCTTTGTGTATGTTGAGGCCTACTGATGCAGAGGCTGCTGCGACATTAGTTCTCATCATCTGCGTTTGTTTGTGTGTATGGGATACAAAGGCCAGGTCATCTGCGCAGTTCAAATCTTCTAATTGATTCCGAGCTGTTCATCGTGTTCCGTGCTTTCCGTCAGATGTCGAGGTATTCATAATCCAGTAGACCACCAGAAGAGGAAGGGGAAGAGTAATTAAGCTTGTCTGACTCAGGTCCTTACTTGGAATGCATCTGTCAGCTGTCCTCAATGCACGACTTTGCACTGTAGTCCGTCGTATGAATTCCGGATGATAAAATAGTTTCTACAACCGTTAATTAATGCATTAAATCAAATAACTAATATTCAAATGAGAACATTTCTGACTAGTATTAAATACGGATAGCTCAATACTTACTAACTGGAATCGAGTAATGAAATTAGTGAAAGCATTCCAGGATAATTAGAATATGCACAGTCTATAATTAAAATAATTTTTATAGATGAAGGAAAATTAAACATACTTCAATACAGTTAAAATGTCTTGATAAACATGGGAAAGGTTATGAAACATTGCAATATTTTTTTACTGTTACTCTTACTAACCTTGTAGCTGTATGTTCATAGGCTGTATCTTGTAATAATTTTTGGTATTTTTTCAATGCATCATTATAATCCGACATTTCTTCAATAGTCTCCAGAAAACAAAGTTTTGGGAATTTTGAGCGAGTTTGAAATAGAAAATGCTAAAATTATAGATTTTCGAGAGATGTACAAAGAAAAATGAACTCATTACTTTTACATATATTTCAAATGATAAAAATTCATGGAAAAATCCCTGACTATTAAAATAAAACTATCTAACCTTTGGACAGATTGACCTCAATAACAGCACAGACTTAGCACAACACAAGATTTCCTCTTTAAATCCGGATGGTAAAAGCTGACTCAATGCAACTCGTATAAGCTTCTCGGTCCCAATATCAATGTTCAGTATTTGATCGTACGTTGAAAAATGAAAGCTTTCAGTCCAAAATGAACTATCTAAAAATTGTAATTTAAGAAAAAATCAAGGAAGTAAGTAAATAAAATGCTTACAGCAAATTTAACAGAGTTCATTCAATTAGGTAATGAAGAAAATAGCTGTGTGATACATAAACACGTAGGATTAATGGCACACATTACTTTGTACCTATGTAGTTATTAAGAATTGTGATTTGGTGAACGATGAACGGTTTGAGAACTATCAAATGAACGCAATGAAACGACATGGCCAAGTGATGGCTGCTCACGAAGTCAGATCAGTAACACAAACCACTAACCAGAACGATACATTTTCTTCTCAGTAAAATAACACGTTTATAAATAAAATCAGAAGGGAGTTTTGTGGAGATTGTAGTAATTTAATAGTTGAGTTCATGAATCGATTAAGAGTTCCGTGCGCGGGATTGTGTATGCGCACTGCTGAGGAGTCCCATACTAGGAAGAAACGGCAGTACAGTGCTTCCACGTTTTCCATAGTGGTCTAGCTTCAATTGACTCATGAACTCAACTATTAAATAAATAAAATGTTGAATACAAGAATAAACATGGTTAACAGTCAATTAAAATAACTAGAACAAATGGGTTTCGTAGGTCACTCAACTCTTAATGAATTTAAGACCTAAACAGCAGGCTTAATACCTGCCCGATATTAGGAAATGGTCCACCTAGAAAATAATCTAACTAACAGTGTTTAGTTCTGCCACATAACTTGGCAATCCAGCCAATGTATTAGTATCCGTTTATTAATTCGCGTTTAATGTAAACGCCAAGTGAACAATGGAGATATAATCAAGGGACAAAAGTCAGTAACGGGGTCTTTAAATATGTTTCTATTGAGATAGCTGAGTTGAGTTATATAATTCACATTTATATAATATACCTTTATGGGCCAGAGTAATTTTGCATTGGTTTTCAGGAGAACCGAACACCATCCAGACTTTCACGTTGCAACCCGAACGGTACAGCTCCATCCCGTTTAACAGGAAAGCCAGACACCGCCCAGGCTTAGTCGGAGTAATACAGCTCAATCCCGCTTCACAGGAAAACCAGACACCAGGCTTTAACGCTACAATCTAAACAGTACAGCTCAATCCTGTGGCGCAACCACACAGGTACCAAGCACCCATTCGCAGCATTCGCACCATTCATATATACATTCACATCACATGTATAATTATTCGGATTAATGGTCGCGTTAATCAATTATGCACAGCACGAACAGGTGAAAGTTGACATATTCAGCTTACACGACAGTCTCATATGAGACCTTCAACTCTACATAGCAATATAGCTTATACTCCATACAACACATATGTAGAGTAGCAAACGAAATAGCCCAGCCTGAGGTGCTAGGGCTTAAAAAACACTTAAAACCGATTGTCTCGTATCGGAATACTGCTACAAAACCACCAAAATCATTTTTATCACATTTGCGAAATTTTCATTTTTCTGACTAAATGACTAAGTGGATATTATTTTAACATTGATCAGTATATTATGATAACAACTAATTAAAACCGTAAATTTGACAGCCTTATCCTACACCAACTATGTTAGACACTAGTAACCACACTGAAGTTTTAGACACTTTAATAAGTAACTAGGAGTGTCTATAACGCCTTAAAAAGAAAAACACAAAATATAGTTTGAGGTCTTAGGAAAAGTTTGGATCGTAATCTTTTTGCAAGTGACTCAATTTTTTAATTACTTTATTCATAATCACAAGTTCAAAATCACTTACCATACACCACTAATCTTATTAATTTAATAATATAGTTTGTTACACATAAAACAATCATAATCGTACAAATTATTTTTTCAATTAGCTGCTAAATATCTGTTACCTAATTCGACTATAAACCTATAAATTCCCATTAAGATTGCTATTACATTTGTTATTTTCAACAAGATCACAATAATCGTCACGAATAAATTATCATTCGTTGAATAATTGTCTGTGATACATAGAAATTTATTAAAATTCATAACATAATACAAAGTGTAACGTAAATCAAAACTCATTATTGAATTAAAAAGTAATATCAATTCGCTAATATTCAGTTATAAAATTAATCATGAAATGATAAAAAAAAGACTATTGATTTAAATGTCTTATACTAGTAGTGTTGCGTTTATTGAACTGTACACAGATTATTGTGATCAAAATAAAGCATTATAAACAGTATGTGAACAGAAGACAGCTCCTAGTGCCAATCTGTTGTGAACAGATAACTTATGTGTATAGAAAAATTTATAAAATCCTATCATGATGACATGGTGATATTCATTCAACTTAAAAGTTTAAAGTCATGGTTATATGAGAAAAGAAAAACAAAGCAATTTATACTGACCTTGTTTAAATAAATGTTCACTTGAAACAATCAAACTAAACTCATTACCAATATCATCGTAAATTCCGTCTAAAGCAAACACTTCAAGAAATCTAAAAAGTAACCGTAAGGTATTAAAAGTTAGATCAGTCAACTCGAATGAAGAGAAAAAAATGTGTGTTGGTTTCGTTTAATACACAATAAAATTAGAAAGTGAAAAAACTATAGTGAGAAGAAGTAGACGACCGGACTCATCAAACCTGAGTAAATTCGTATCATGAGCTATGAGCAGCACCATATAATCTGTATACAATCAACATTAACCGATCATTTTATCAAGCCAGATACAATAAGTCCGAAACAGTCAAATCGAATGTAAGTAGTGCTGAAGTAGTGACGTGTTTTTTACTAATTGTAGATGATTAAATGTATTCATGTTGAATGATGCTTCAGTGGTTTAAAACGTTTGAAGCATCTCGTCTCATTAGCTTCAATACAGCTCATCATTTGTCACTTTTAGGACTGTGTCAATCGACAGGGGGAAATTAGTTTATGACAGGTCGCTATGTGATGACAGATAGCTATGTGGAGCTACTATTTTTGGTTTAACACGATTCTCCGGTTGGTTTCTTAAAGACCTTGCAATTCGGTGGCCGTAAGCGTTTGTAGTGTCGGTTATTATGCCAAGCCCATATACCTTATTCTAGCTTTCGGACATCCCATTCTATTCATTCTACTTGAGTCATACTTTGACCTTGTTATTTATTCGCTTATCAATCTAGACTGTTTTTATATGAGCGTATATGTGTGTGCCCTTCTTATTCCATTAATCACATGTCTGTACCTTTATTCTGTCTGACTATAAATATTGAGTAACACTTGACTAAAGTGGAGTTGGCTTCCCAGCCATCTTCCCTGCGTGTCATTTTGCTCTACTCTGTTTCATTCGCTCCATATACAAAACATATGTGTTCTCAAGTCAATTCTCGTTATTCGACTTATTTAATTCCGTTATTGACTAACGCGATTTAAGTCGACGATTATATACGAGAATAGGCGATAACAAACATTCGTACGATCTAAATAGGAGTCATCCACGGGCCACCAAACGTTACACTAACAATTTAGAATAGAACTCAGCCACAATCCTGTTAGAGTTTTCTACTAAGAACAATAGAATCGGTCTTGGTTATATTTTTATCGAGACAGTACACACATTACAAACCTACTTACGTAACAATTTTTAACATTTTGTAAACTAAAAATTGGTAGGTAACTTTAGAAGAGTTTAATGTTGTGAGTACCACAACCTTGAAACTACTGAGCTACGACGCGATCAACTAATCCAAGGCATATTATCTTAAGGCTGTAAACGACAAGATTAGTGCGAGTTGATATGAAATATGTCTAAATATACAGTGCTTACTTGATAAACGGTCGAGCAGCTTCTTTAAATAACAATCTTACAATTGGTTCACATCCATGAGACATACAACCATCTGTCTTTGACATTAAGTAGGCCAATAACGCTATGCCATGAAGTTTAGTCAGCGGATATGTGGAAACATCTGATTGATCATAATTGAGCATGCATAAGTCGGAGACAAACCTGTGAAAAACGAAATATAAATATACACCAATAGTTGGTTGTCTGTACAAACTTTCTACCCCCTTTATCAGTCTAAAGAGTATAGTTTTTATCACACTGATATCAGACGGAAAATTATTGCAAATTAGGCAGTAGCCGTCCAATCTCAATTTGCGACTTCCAAAGAATAACCCTACTATTAAATATCGTTTGGAGTGAAATAAAGGCCTTCAAAAGTAGTGCCATGCACTTAATTAAGGCTTTACATCTGGATCCAATAGTTCATTTCTCTGTTTCAGTTTGTGACTTACTGCGTCTATCACTAAGTTTGATTGGTGAGTGTCGATCACCGCTTTCTACTTTATCGACATAAAACGTTATGTCTTCAAAAAAAACTCAGGAAATCAATATAGAAGTCAAAAATGAGCAGTGAAATATGTTTACTTTGTGGTGAATATTTCAATCTTAGGATACTTTCCATAACTGAATAACATCTACTCGAAGGTCTATGAGTAAAAAGAAAGCAGCTGTCAATTCTATAAGCCAAGTATTTGATACTGATACCACGATATTTCTTGACCAGTTGTCCTCGAATGAATTCGAAATCTACTCTAACAAATGAGTTTTTGGAAAATATGTAGTAGTAGTAGTAGTATTAATCACCAGAAAACAAGTGGGTAATAATTATTGAGAGCTGTGAATAACACCCTGCTATCAAAACCGAGTAACTTGGAATTTTCGAATTATTGACGTAATTGGTAGAAGTTGAGCGTACAAACTGCCAATTCATACCATCAAAAAGAATCTATTGTGAATGATGGTTGAATAACACTTTATTTCCATTTATTTCAATGCACTTATCAGCAACATATTTCCCACTTGGCTGGTAGTACATTTTTAATTGTAAATAATGAAACTTCGAGATGAAAATAAGAATCTTAATACCTAGTTCAATGCAAATATAGCATAAAACGACGAGGTTTTTGTAGGAATATAAAAGAATCAATGCATTTACGATATTGTGACAGATATTGAACAACGGATATTACGAAAACTTTTAGCTTCTAGATTTTGATAGCTTTTCATTTCCCAGTGTGGCTCAAACTGTCAACAAATTCGTGGATCTGTACACTTTAGGCAAAGGGGTTACTAATCACTGGCTTGAGGATGTAACTGTTGACCAGTGAGAAATAGATTTCAGACAGATGGGATCTACTAAGGCGGAAAATTAGACCTTTACCCGAGAATCGGTCGATATCTCAAAATACTTTTGTTAGTGATAAGACTTATTGAAGCTTTAGAACACAAAAAATGTATCACATGGTACAACTTACTCAATCTGTTTTGAAAGATAATGTAAGCTCTCTGTAATAAGAAGAAGTTTAGATTCGCCAATGTTCGATAGCTTCGATAACACTGAGTGAACCGAGTTTTCGTACGTACGTAACCAAGTTTTTAATCCCTGAATAAAGCAAGCCCATATCTGTCCGAGCCAAACAGACTTATCAGATTCACAAGTCGGAATGAGCGAAATAGAGTGATGGGCAAACCAACACAGCTGTCTGTATTTAGTTCCAACTTTGATATGACCAGTGACAAAATGTGATAAGCACTGGGATGAAACGCCCAACGTAATAGGATCACATTTATGTGGTATCCACAAGAAATGACCAGTTAGTGGATATGAAAAAGAGTGCTTAACATTTTCAGTCTGACTTGGTCTGGAAGTTCCCAAGAACTGGAACCTATCAGACTGAATGCCTATCCTCAACACCAAAAGATCGTGCAGAAAGTTATGATTGTATGTAAGTGGTAATTTTATTGTGGTACTCTGGAGCTTTACAGTTGATTGGGCCTCTTCCGCTTCGCTATTGCTCGACAAAAAACCAAATCTCGACTTTTTGGCAACGAGAACAGCTTCGGCAGAAAATGGGCCAGTTTCACTCAAATAAGGTAGTTCCTTGTTTAGACATCCGCTAAAAATGAGAGAAAATAAAAGAAACTATTGAATTCATTATCCCAAAATGATATGTATTGAACGTGATGTTTGTCTTTGACTGAAAGGGTCAGAAAGCATGTTTAATTCTGCATCCAACATCTGTTTGAAGTGCTTATATTCCAAAATAAATAATTTTCTCTTATTGTTAAATACTTGGTTCAGCAGTCTAGGCTTTGATAAAATATATCCCTATCTTTTCTTAAGATGACGTTGTGAGACGAAGTCGAGATAAAGCTGATGTCAGTAGTTACCAAAGTCAACTTACTTATACTTTGGCAGAATAAAAATGGTCAACCCATCGTTAATGCGCGCGACGTAGTCAACAATTACAAAACTGTATGTTATGTTACGAGTCACACCAGTTGCGTAAAGCCTAATGATATCAGTGGACAATTAAAACCTTTGTAAGCATGACAAGACCGAAGCACATGTTCTGCAAATTGAGAATCTGGTCCATTAACTGACAAAACACAGGTCACTATCATACCAGATAAAGTCAACAACCAGTGACGTTTTAAAGCTTATCTGTTAAACTCGAAATTTTGTAGATCGATTGTCGTATTAACCCACCATAAATCTTTTTTATTTGCTAATATTTAATGTTATTTGCTGAGCTTAGAAATTAATTCTTTAAAGACTTCAATTTGAGTCATAAGTATTCTCCATCGTCTCATTTAATTTAGTGTTCGAATGTTCGTTTTTACGACTCTTAACTTTATAAACATGTGTAACAAAACAGAAAACTTACATCCCTCTGGATTCCCAAGAAAAGTTCTGGACATAACTTGGAGATACTGGTGGCAAAATAGTATCCAAAGTTTTGTTGGCTAGAAGAGTTGTATCACTCGGAATCCCCTTGAAATATGGTTCAAAAGATGAGTAGAATATTTCATTGACCAGCATTTGACCGATGGCCGTAGAATATTGAGAAAAAAGACGAAATATGGCATTTTCTATGTCTTCATTATTCAGTAAACGGTAATCTGTCCTAACAAATGACTCACAGTAACCTTCATCTTCTTCATCCAATGCTCTAGGCTAATAAAGATATAATTAATTGGGAAAGACAACACCTACCAAAGGGCGAGTACAATCTACATCACTGAAAAGGAAGCGCGAAAAGTATGTAAGTATAAACGATTTCTCTAAGCGCACAAAAGCTACTAATTTTGTAGAAATATAACTTATTCAAGTGATTACCTCTATAACTGTCACTAACCCAAAATACCAAGAGCCTGAATAAAGCATTTAGAATACAGAACTAGTTGTCATATGATAACAGGACCGCACCCACTGTACAGAAGTACCAACGAGTTCCTCGTAATATAGTATACTGGATATAATTCAGAGGCGAATATATTTGAGAATTCAGTACGTTGACTACCGAACTTTGCCAGCTATCAACAGCAACATGGCAAAAAGCCATGAACGTAATGGATTCCTAAATAATCTAATCTTCAAAGTAACATAAATCCCATAAGGGAGGCTTTTAATTCTCAGTACATATTAAACGACCAGTCAATTACACTACAAGACTGCAACTATGTATCCGTATGCGTTAAAATTGCTCGGTGGAATAAGCGATAGGTGGAAATTAACAACACCTTTCCTTGCTACTTTAGTCACAGAAGATTCCATAACTTGGTGAGTAAACTTATTCACATAGACTTAGTATTAATTGCTAAAAGTGGACACAAAATAATATGTCACTACATGTGAATATTCTTAAAATACAAAAGTAGTTTATGTGACAATATAATCACAGTTTCTGTTAAACTATTCCTGTGCAATTGCGACGTTTAATATCAATAACGGCGCCATTGTCAAAAGGTATACACCACACTCGTTGTAGTTGTGCCAATGAATGGGCTAATAATTAGGATAAACGGAGGACTATGGCACTTAGAAAACCTTTCAGTACATAATGGCTGATATCTTATGTTGGCAAAACTGTGTGTGATAAGTAAACACCAAAAGTCATTTAGACCACTACTTCATATATACATTCAAAAAAATAACATCGAGGTAATTTGGGGAAAGCACTTGAAATAATCGGCTTACCTAGAAATTGTTGGACATCGTGAAGCTTTTGCAATGTTGAACCTCATCCAATTGTTATTCATGTGGATGCTACTCGGAACACCAGTAGGGTCAACGTTAAACACGTTATTCGAATAAGAGGTGTTGCGAATAGTCTTCAATAGAACACTTGATGCACAGTGATTACTAAGAGCTATGTTCTCCGATGGGAATGTATAAGCCTACGTAATAACTTTACATAAAACAAAGTAAAAGCATACATTAACTGAAGTTGTAGACAAATATTGCATTTTCACTGATGAGAAAGGACTGATACATCCAAAATTACTAAGACTAATGAAGTTTGAGAGAATTTTTAAAAAATTACCCTGTGAGTTTGCTGTATGAAACAGATGATTCCGGATTTAAATAAGTCTAAAAATATATAACGAAAGTTAGAACAACCTCGGAATGTTCATACATCTCAGAATCACCGTAAAATTTGCAAGTTCTGTTGGCAATAAGATATATAAAAATAAGTTGACTCGTAAATTCTACGTTATACCAATGCTAAGTAGTATAATACCTTTAATTTCCGGAAGAGTATTAACTAAAGCATCAAGACGACGGGCTTGTTTCTCGTTTCCGGACTTTTCCAATTCGAACTTTATAATTTCGTGCAACTTTTCAAAGATACCATTTCGGGGATGAAAAACCTTGCCATTTGAATATCTGAACAGTATGTATTGAAAAGAAAAAAGTCACTTGTGTGGCCCTTTCTGGAAATAGAAATTCAGGTCATAGGACTGAATCCGCAGAATCCTTCTCAGCTTTTTATTACTGAGTCCACGAATAGTTAACCGAGATGTTGACTTTGATATTAAGCTATCAATAAAACTAAAGACCGACAAATCGCACATGCTCATAATACGATTCGGCCTTGGGATCAAAAGTCCCGCATTCTGCCGAATTTCAGACTCATATGGCTTTGAACTTGGTAGAAGGAACGTCGCCTAACAATCTTCTAATTATAGTGGCGGTTAGTCATCTTGAAGAATTTTCTAGGTTTTATACATTTACAACACGTCTAAGATGAATTACATTACACTTCAAACTGCAGTCAGTGAATTCAACGTCAACTTTCCGAGCTCTGGGTTCATATTAATGTGTTTTGTGGATAAAATGCCAAGTAATATGCCAGTCTTTCTATAACGTGTCTTGCCTATCGTTTGGTCTTCTCTTCTCAAGGCACTGACATCTCTTCTTTCAAAACTAGTAATCAAGAGTGCGCAAAGGTAAAACATGTACATCACAGTAATGGTATATAAATCCCCTAAATGAATGGTTTAGTAAGTTTTCAATATCGACGATGGTTTCGAAGGTCTTCCATCAAGTATCCTAACCAAACCATGTTCGAACACATCTTGCTGTCATTCGCTTATAACAATTAATCGATTTAGTTTACATACACTTCAACACATCGGCTATAGTGAAATAGCATCTCCGCATCTCGTGCTCCTGTACTTGTGATTTCATTATCTTTTGAATCCTTTTACAAAGAGAAACTCACGTTAGTAGCGTTGAAAAATACCGAATATCAAGGGCGGTTTCGTTGATGAGCCTGGATACTGTCTGATACACCACACAGTAAACTGTGAGCCTTTTCCTTGTGGTAATGTTTTACGTATGCTTTTATATATTGTAGTGCATTCTTCTCTCGTTTTAACCTTTTACATGAAAATTTTTTATTCCTATATTACGCAGAAACACACTTAAATTTATAAGGATCAGTACTCCTCCATCCTTCACTTTACAAACAATGCCAATCTAATATGAAAATATCTAAACCTGGTTCTACTATTCGGAATGTGACTTTCTTGAACACAGCATGAATGACAAACGAAGGTAGTTTCTCGCAGTAGTGAAGAAACCACGCACAAAGTCAACGGGTATGTTCACATACTACGTATTTATATTTCAGAATCAAATGAAACTTTTGATAAGGTTTTCCTTAAATATTGTCAACGGTTAAATGAACTTATAAATTTATGGTCTTGTTTGGTACCAGTACATTTATCTTTGCCACTATATAAGTAGACTTAATTCCAAAACTGTAAATTTGTCATAATGTGATTACTTAATCTATAAGACCTTACATGGAAGTCACATCATTTTTAATTGCCGCTTCCGCATTCACCATTTTTGAACTTCTTCAGTTGTTACATGTTGAAATTAAGCCTTCTCAGTAATTATGTGTTCAGATCCAAATATCGTTTGGTTAGGAACCAACATCACTGCAAACTCTTCTGTGATATCAAACTAAGGTACGACGCCTTAACAGAAATTTCGTTGCGAATGAGATAGGTCACAGGTTAGAGACCCTTCGAAAAAAACCTATCTACATGACCCAATTTAATAAAGCTATCTCAGCATGTTCGGGTGCTTCACGTCTCGTCCCGACATGAAGCCGTCAGTCAACTGACTTTGTAACAACTTAGGTTGAACAGTTAAGTATATGTCAAAGCAACAGAGCTCGAGTATTCATTCACTCTCTTATTTCGTATAGTCATTATATCCCCTATTATCTTCTGCTGAATTTTGAAAAGCTTCGTGTGTTTGAACAGGTAACCTCCTGCTCCACTGTGATTGTCCCACGAACTAAATAAGGATCTATTCACTACTAGTCTCAATTCTATCAACAGAAGGAGAGTTACCGACAGGCACCAAAATATCACCTGCCAGCTTGATTCTGAAAATTATCAGGACCCCGGCACTGAGGTTTGTTCTGGAAGGGAAGAGATTCAGTTGACCTAAAACGAAACCTAAGGTGTCCATACTATTCACACCCGATTATTGACTCTGTGGCACGACAGTAGACAATCGGAAACTTCTTAAAAATGCTCATCACGGAAAAGATCTATGTTAAGACCGCATGAAACAACTGACGTTGACTGGCGTCGGTATCACAAATTCCACAGCGAATCTTCCAGAAACTGCAAGAAACCCTACAGCTCCCTCAACCTAAGAGTTTCCGCTATAACAAACCTTTACATACATTCTATCACCAGTATATGTTAAGGGAAAATAGCAGCCTGCGGATATAGCCGTTCATCTCACATCATTCTAGTGCTAACGAATGTTTACTATCTTTTGGACAATGACGCAGCGGTTCGGTCTTCGGCTTACAGGCGGCGAACTGAAAACAGATCACATAGTGTAAACCGTACATCTACTTTGACGCAGGGTCACGCAATACCATTTACATTTTTGCTGTCTCATGCTCGTAAGTGACAATTGTCGGAATAAACCTGCTGAAAGCCACAACCTACTTATCGACTCAAGCAAACGGAAGCTAGTAGACAGAGATACTAAATTATCTTTCTGCGGAGCTTCTTTTTCCCGTTGCAAGTTATATCCAATAACAATCTAGCACCAAACTAATTTGCACTTCCAGATGATGCTTAACAAATATCACAAACTATACAAAACACGGTACAAGTCATTGTGTACAATTAATAATGTTACACTTCATATCACGACTTCAGGACCATCTGCATTCTCGTAAGTGTATGTTATGTTTCGTTATTGCTTGAATGCGATTACTGATGCGTCTTACTCGAACGAACGAAGGATCAATGATTCAGCGACTCGATAGACTATTCTGGTCCGTTGTCCCCAACTCTGCTAACTCGATCAAGAAGTCTGTGTAAGGTGTAGAAAGTGTATTCTACAGACAACAGCAGATAACAAGTCAGGCAGGCAGATCAGATCAAGCATACAAGTCAAGCGTATTTATACAATTATTTACAATCGATAGAAAATTTTTAAACATTAATCAATGAGTTCATTAATTGACCTATTTGCGCATTTAATCGATAGTTCATCAATTGACCCCAATAAAAATATCTAACATTTAATCGATAAGATGATCGATAAAATAAAATTTAAAAATATGAGTTTGGGGATCTATCGTCCCCAACAGTGTACCAACTAGCTCCTGAGTAGTTACATTAATCCGACAACGAATCGAGTTACTAAATCCATTTAGGAATAACTCTCTTATCAAGCAGACTGTGAGATTGTAAGACGGCAATCATCCCTTCCCCAAAACTATATGCTTTTTAGACGTGCCTTTCGATTTAAGTAATGCAGCGCGGAATTTTCAGATTCAGCAACAGCAAATGTGAAGGTTTCGAATTTATGCACGCTTATGTTGATAACTGTTTGAACTCAAGAATCCATTATCCAACATATGAAACTTATTTTTAAACGACTCCAAGAACATGGCAATACTGAGAACATTCAGAAATGTCAGATCGTAACGTACTCTCTAGACTTTCCAAAGCATACTAGTGAATCAAAGGGTATTCGCCCTCCAGGAAGTAAAACGGTAGGCATTCTAAATTATCCAGAATTGACTATCCTCAAACTATCGAGCGAGCTAAACGGTCTTTCAAGATTTTATCGACAATTCGTACCATATCGCGCGTCTGTGATGAGTGAATTTAACTATGTTAGAATGGAGATATAATCAAACTAGATGATAATCAGAGGAAAGCATTTACCGCAATGTAATACAGTACCCTCAAGTCGATTACGCATATAAAACACCAGACACAATCTGTAGACACTTCTGATCCAGCAACAGGAGTTATACAACACTGGGGAAACAAAGCTTTGAGATTTTTTTGGAGATAGTTCCAAGACAATGAATCGAGGTACAGCAACTCGGCAGAAAACTTCTAGCTTTTTATTGTTCGTACGGCCTTTTAATACTCTGTAAAATGCTGTGAATTCGCTTTGTTCTCCAATCATAAACCTCTAACGTTTTTCCACAACTTTTCTGAGTATGGCTACGCACTTTACGAGTCCCGACAACTGGACTGCATTTCGCAATTTAACTCAGATATACATATTTCTAAGTCAAATGAAGTAGCTTTAACTACGCCATATTGTGTGATTATGTCAAACATTACCCGAGAAATTAACCATCCCAAAGTCACCCATTTCTAAAAAGGGACACTGATCGCCTAGTCGCGCTGAAACACAACCCCATGATATGTTGTACGAATTTTTTAATCTAGGTGTACCAGGAACCATCAATCTCATGGCAAAATAATCTTGGTTGGCCTGCTCTTTGTAGACTCTCAAGGTTTTAAAGGGACTAGTCAACACTGGTTTCAGTTATATTATTTCACAGCTGACGCTGTGTTCAATTAATTTCAATTAACAGCCTTCCTAGAATCAGATTGATACACCTATATTTCGGCATTTGCAAACCGTCTCACATGGTGACGAAAGCAGTACCTGCCTCAGATGAAGCTGTTGAAAGAAAAACTCTCATCTTCTTAGACTGACTATTCATAGACTTAGCTGCCATTTGAAAAGCACTTGGAACTAAGGACGTCGATTCGAATCCAGACTTTTCCACACCCTTGCCGAAATCTTAGAAGTCGAACGATTCTGAACAACCACGTTCCAGCCACAAGTTAATAATTTGGTAAAATGACAGTCGAAAATCTCCCTTCCAACCCTAGAAAATAACGGTGAACTGACGCCTTTCTACTAGTATTCGGTGATAGACGACGTTTTATTGCAGACAAACTTGTTTGTCTCATGACACGTCAAAGTCCACACGCTATGCATTCAGTTAAACGGGCTCCCATGCAACTGTAATCAACTGATGACTACATTCAATCTGCTTGATGGCTTTTTTACATAACTTTTGCACACCACTCACTACGTTTACCCTCGGACGCTATTTATGAACGACCACAGTAAATCCAAGTACTATACTATCTGTAAGAACGAAAATGAAGGTTGTTTATGCATCCACCGACAGGAAGCCACTTAGTTGAAAGTCAGTTCATTCTCTATAGACTTTCCAACAATACGACAAATCGTGATGAAAACAAATAATAACGGTTTCATATATGGCCGTAATCCGACGGAACGTGCAAACAAAAATGTCGGAATAATA